GCATCCAGGACCCCCTTTCCTTCCTAGCCAATCCCTCACGGACAGAGCCAGTCCCTTTGCCAAGCACAGGTCCCTGGGAGCCTGTTGGGGCACTTGGGGACAGCCAGGGCCCACTGATGGCACCACAGGAAAATGCCAAGCTATCAAAGTTCTCACCAGCTTAGCCACACCTGGCACTGCATGAACAGCCAGATGAAATATGAGTTTAAAGTTCCTCCATGGGGTTTTTCCATGTGAGGTAGGAAAAAGCCCTGTGAGGCCTCAGCCCTGCCCGTGCTGAGGGGATTTTTCATGGCCAGGGCTGTTTTCATTGTTCAAAGCAAACCTTCCATGTGGGGAGAACATGTACAGATAAGGGCTGGATGTGGGCTTGGAGCTTGGCTGCTGCCTAGGGAGGTGGCAAATGGGCCTGAACTGCAAGAGATGTTTTGACACCACAAATAAAGATGAGGAATTAGGCAGTGTGGTGACCCGGAGAGAAGATGAGCAGGTCTGCTCCTACAAGGCTTTTAAGGTGCTGCTTTGAAGGCTTCCAAAGTACTTCAGATCAACATCACAAAGAAACTCTTCAAATTTACTTTCAGACAGCTGGCAACGTTCCTTTTAAAGAGATTTTAAAAATCATTCAAATATTATCCATCCTAACTTAAATGTAATGTAAGAAGATCTTGAACTTATGGATAATATTTAATGATTTATACATGACCAAGTGTATATTTTTAACAATGAAAATGATGCTATCACCAATTTCTTTACATTTGTGGTTTGTTTTGACAGTGTGTTAAAATAAAGCTCAGTCTCTGACAGTCATAGAATCAATTACTTTATATTTCTATTTTAAACTTCTATTTGTCTGAATCAAGTATTTTTCATTACTTTCCCAATTTCCTTTCCAATTTCTTTGCATCTCTTTAGCTGATTGAACACAGTGGTGCACCTGACTGCAATTCAGTGTGAACCAGCAAGAGCAGCTTCCAAACAGACTATTAAGTTATTAAAGGTGCATTTTTATAGAAGCAAGTGTGGGGAACCAAAACTAACAAGTATTAAAAGCAGCTGGTTAATTTTGTTGCATTCAATCTTTCTTCATCTTCTACCTCATCGTTAAAATTGTGAAAGGCTTTTTAGATTGCAATAATGAAAAATAAACACACCTCCCAGCTGGCCCAATTGATTCTCAGCATATCCCCCACACAACAAACACAACTTGAAAAGAGAGAACTTCTCTGGTAGCTCAGCTAAGGGCAGTTGTGATGATTAAAAGTCAACTTCTACAGTAGAAACATTATCAGTTAACTGTGAATTGATATTGTGTCTTTCCAAAAACCTTTTCATGGTATCCTGAAACCTACAGAAAAAAAATCACAAAATGCAGCTGAAATGTTCTCCCTCAGTGCACTCTACCAGCCATTACTAGAACATTAACCAGTTCTGTATCCAGTAAATATCAACAGAAACACTTCTGTTGTGCTGTACCATCGTCACCAACATGTAACACCTTCTGGAGTGCATATTTGGGGTGTGGTTGCACAGATACCACCATGGAAAGGTTCTTCCTTCATATAAAAATTTAAGAAGTTTCACTATACTGTGCTGGGGAATGGCCCCAAGGCTGCCAGAGCTCCAGGAAACTTTGGACAATGATATCAGGGATCCACAGAGTGGGATTGTTGGGGTGCCTGTGCAGGGCCAGGGGTTGGATCAATGATCCTTGTGGATCCCTTCCCACTCAGGGTATTCATCATCTTACACACAGTGAATTCCTCACTTTTTACATCCACTGGAAATTGCAGCATCCAAGTATTTTAAGCAAGAAATCAGGGAATTTAATTCACTGACATAGTCCTATAAGAAATAAACATTTTTAGAAGGGAAAGTAGATGAAAAAGTTGCTGTAAATTGGAGGGCACTATATAAAATTGTGGGTAAATATAGTTAAGTATTGAAGAGAGTGGATTCCAGTCTCATTTGGTATTCATCCAACTAATTCATCCCATTTTACCAGCTGTCCTTTACAAGGTATCACTGATGCTCCAGTGGGCCTTGGAGACTCCAATTGCATGGAAAATTTTACAACTGTCAGCACAGCTCTGCCCAAGGGGGGATTCAGCATTGTTTTGCAAAGTGGCAGGGCTAGACCCTGCCTATATTTCTGGGATAATGAAAGTGAAACCAATCTGAACATAAATATTTTTAAAGCAAATTCAAGTCGACACATATGTCTGTTTATCCTGTAAATGATTTCCATAGATTTTTGGGAGTTTCTTTTCATGAGCACTTAAATGGGAGCTTTTCATTATAATATAATCACTTTAGGGCAGGAAATCCCTCAGGCATAACTGAGAGCTGGGATCTCCACTGCATCTATAGCTAAAGGAGCAATCAAAGAAAATTTAAAGGAGAGACTGAAGTCTTGTAACCCATAATAATATTATTAATTCATTCAGCATGCAAATATTATTCTACTCAACATTCAGCAGACTTCCCCAGCTCCATGCTGAATTGAGACAGGGGTTCACTGGGAAACGATCCTCACAGCAGCGTCAATGACATCCGAGTTACAAATATGATGTCTTAACTTGAGAAGTTCAGGGCCTTTAAAACAGTCTCAAAAAGCACTTCTAAGTGTGATTGATCCTACCAATCCATAGGTGAGACATCAAATATTAACATGGGAAATGAACTGAGTCAGCTCTGAGCTCATGACTTCTTGCTTTCTAAATAAACCATTAAATTCAGTTTAGGCCACATTTTACAAAATTATCATGTCCCTGCTGCCAGAAAACACTTTTTTTTCCCTCTGTTCAGGTACCTGTTTCAGCCCTTATTCCACAAAATTACAAGGACTTGATGCAGATAAATTCTGGAAGATCTTACAAGGCAAGGAAGAACCAAGTTCTACAGTCAGGTCCTTTTTAGTGTTTCACAGTCACTCAAGACTCCTGCACAGCCATTTGGTTTCTTCAAAGTACCCTGCACTAATTCTTATTTCATATCTCCTATAAAGCCATGTAAGATGTGCAGCACACCAAAGTATGAAAAACAAAAGAAGTTCAGTGAACTGTGCTTCACCAAAAATGATGCCTGGTTGGAAAAGTGATTTTCAGGCACTATAGCAAATTGAGTGTTTTCACAAAGGTATTCAATGAGGAATCCACAGTTTGCTGCAGGTACTAAAGGATAAAGCTAAGTATGTCAATAATTAATTTTCAAATCATGTCTGCTTGATGTTAGAATCCATTTCCACATAAGAAATTATTATGGTTTTTTTCCTCTAAGAATAATCATGTCTCCAAGAATATCCTCTTCACTGAGCTTGGAATCAAGAAAAACAATGGCTTGAGATGTAGAGCTAAATATAAGTTTATGTTTGCCATAAGCCTTAAAAGTTTCTCTGTGATGGATACTTTCTCTCCAGTGAAACTTTCCAGAGTTCAACAAGACATATTTCAGAGAATTTTTCCAAGCAAAACAATTAAAAATAAGATGTAAGCTTTGTGTGACTGGGAATTCCTATTATGTGATCTACTTGAAAATTAAAACCCAGCAGAGCCTTCACAATTCCAAGGCTATGCTGATTGCCATTTGAAGCTGGAAAGGTTTTTCCCTAATGCACAAGTGATGAAGTACACGTAATGCTTGGAGGAAAGTTACCTTATCTGCAGTATCAGATATAGATTACTGCTGGAGTCAGTGTGCCACGCTGCTGGATCCATACACTCTGTTCCAACATGAGGAATTGAGTTTCCCTGATGTCATAAATTGAACACATAATGCAATTAACATCTCCTTTGAAGTTCACATTGACCAGGTAACCACTAGAATGATTTGGCAGAACTTGACTGAAGTCACCGCCATGAGCTCGGCTCAGACAGAGACTTCAGCTCTGACTCTCTGCAAATGTGGAATTCTTGAGGCTGAGACATTGATAGCTGCTCCTTTGGGACCCCTCAGCTGGGGTAATTTATGGCATCACACTACAGTTGACATGTTTATGATCACACCAGTAATTCCAGACTTTGAGGCATTTAAACACTGGAGGTAACTAAATGATTAATTTTGGAAAGAAGAGAATGGAATGAAGCCAAGACTTCTATCTTCATGGAAAAGAAAAGAACTTGAAATGAACATCTTGGCTACTTTACAAGACTGCAGAAACATTATAGACTGAAAGACTGTGTAATTTCCAAAAGTGTTAATACTCCTTGGAGATGAAAATACAGAGACAAAAATAGAATTCTTAGAATTAAGCAGAATTTTACTTGCACTTAAAGAGAAAGAAAATTGTATGAGGAAGGAGAAACATTGCACCATTGTCAATGCTTTATGGGGTGCTATTTGGTTTGAGCATTGAAAACCAGACTAATAAATGATCAAGTAGAAGTCTCTAAAAAGACTTAGAAAGAGAGATACTGGAAAGTTATCATTGGTAGTATTAAACATAAGAAAGTATGGAGCTTAGTTTTACACACAACAGAAGTGCAATCACTAAAAACATCGATACAATCACAGACTGATGATTTAAGCAAAATTATCTGTGGTAATATAATAAGTGAAGATTAGTTACTTATCTATAAATATAAAAAACATTGATCTGCACAGTAACATAGTGTGCATCTCAGAAGGTCATTTCATACTCTCAAGATGTCCAAATACCTAGAAGCTGCTTCAAAGCCACTATTTTGCACCTTCTTACCCCCAAGAGCACAGAGATTCAAGTCTCTTTGCAATGCTCAAAACACATGCTGTTTTTGTGTGTTATTTTAAGGAAGAATTACTGCATTTAGCTGTTAAAACAAGAAGCACTCCTTTCACCCTCATGCCAGCTTTAGCCATAGCTGGACTGGTTTGTCTTCTTTCTTAGAAGACTCTTGTTTTATAATAATGGTAGCACCATGAGAATTCCGTTCAGGTAAGAATCAAAACCTCTTTTTTCACTGCTCTGGAGAGCATTTCTACAAAGTCCCCTAGTTCCCCTAAGTGAAGTGAGAAGTGCTTACCTTCTGTTGGTGATGTCTTCAGATGTCTGCAGAGCCCCTCTGTTTCCCCATAAGTCTCTTTAATTTTTACTACTGCTTCTGTCCCTCGGAGTTCCATGAGGGAGCGCAGTTCCTGCAGTGTGCACCCAAACTCTCCTGCATGGTTGGCCTCATTTCTTTGGTTCTTGGAATAAAAATCGCTATTTGTCATGTCACCCATCGTGGCTGGTTATATTGCTCCACTCGTTGTAGTCGATACAATCTTAAAACTGTTTAAAAATTGGAGGAGAGGAATCTCGAATTCCAAATCGGAGAAATTAAAAAGAATCCCGCGTGTGTCCGGCGAGCGACGTGGAGGATGCCCCTGGCGTGGAGGGTGTCCCTGACAGGCTGGAGGTCACAGAACGGCTGCTCTCAAGGCTGCAGACCAGCTCCACTCCATTCACCATTTCCCATTATGTTGCACCCAAGCTGTAGAATCTACATGGTCATTTCTTCCTCTGGACCTTTGGGAGCAAGCAGAAAGGACTCATTACAAGGTGGGACACCTTGATGGTGTCAAACAAGCTGTGGCATCTCAGAGGAGCAGCGCAGCACCACGGTGGGGTGTCCTGGAGGTGCTGCAGGTCGGCAGCATCCACCCCAGGACAACACTGCTCTGCCTTAGATAAAGCTCTCCACGGCTCGAGCACCAATAGCAGCGCTGAGTCCAAAGAGCAGCCGCTAAATGAGATGAGTCATGAATATTAATTAGCGAGCGATTAGGCCGGCGTGCAGGATGCACCCTCAGTACGTGCTCTGCTCCATACAACCACCCCGGGCTGTCCTCTGCCCAGAAAAAAGGCTCCCTGATGAGGCTCCGGAGGTAACAACGGGTTAAACACCACCAGTTTTCATAGTGGGTTAAAGCAAAACTGGTTTTTAGCACAAGGGCGGTGAAACTTGGGGGAAAACTATAGAGCCACCGTCACAAATGCAGAATATATTTAAATACGTTACATCTTGCAGCCTTGCAAGCCAGCGTAGCATGGATGCAACGGGATGTCTGTGTTGGAAGAGGCAGAGCCCTTTCCCCTGAGCCCAGCCACCACCAGGCACACACACACAGGATGCTGCTGGGCTCTCTCTTTTTTCTTCCTTTTTCCCTTTTTTATTTTCTTTTTTATGTGCAGCGTTGAACGAGTCCCATTTGGACCATCTGGGAGACAGTTGATTACTTGCTAAAGCCAGCCTTTAAAACCTGTTTCCCCTTCCGATATTCTAATGAAGTTGGTTTAAATACTGCTGAAACCAGCTATTATATTTGGCACGCAGAGTTTTAACAGAGATTAAAGGTTTCTTTTTTGCCTCAAGCGGGTTAGTGTGAGTGCACTGTCTAATCTAGAGGTCTCAGAATCGTTTTCATAATAAAAAAGATCTTCCAAAGGGCACCCCAGCAGCCTAATAACTGACCAACCTGTCACAGGCAAAGGTCACACATTGAACTTTCTAGGCACAGCAATTCCCAGTGGAAATTATATATAAATGCCCAGATAAAGCACATCAAGAGGAGCCCAGTGCCTTTCAAGTCTCAGTTTTATATTTGTGCAACAATTTTAATCTCCCACCCAGCTACAGCTGATGTAACACGTAGGGTTTGCTATTTCCACTCTCTAAGGACATTGCCATTGCTATGCAGCGACAAAGATCAGCCCTGTGTGAGCACTAATTTGGATTTACCTTGCTCAATTAACAAAACTGAACCTCTACCAGCCCTCTCCTTTACAGCTTCAAACCTCAACATTCCTTTGATTCATGTGGAGGAAAAAGTTAAAGGAAAAAAAAAGAAAAAAAAAAGGAAATTCAAGTTTCACTATGATATTACAGCCCAAAATTCAAATACCAGCCAACTGCTACACATTTCTTCCACCCATCCTATTTACTGATGTATCTTCTAGTGCTAAGAACTTCTGCCACCCTCAATTTCACATATTGCTTCTCACATTCACGAGATGAGAATTTCAGCACAAAATGTTTCTACAGGAAACAACGAAGAGAAACTCGAAGTAACAATTAAAAAGGGGTTTTATTTGCCAATCAGGAGATGGTGAACCACACTCTGCTCTCCACGGCTGCATCCTGGGCACTGCTCAGCCTCAATCCATCCCCATAATGCCTATGTACAGCAGGAAGAAAAGGCCTTACTCACACTATTGCTTTGCCTTTTTGTAAACACGATGGATCAGTATTCCAAACAGAAATAGCATCAGCCTGCAGCATTATTTGGGGAAAAAAATTGCAGGCCAGAAATGTCACAGATGCCCAGTGAAACAGGTTTCATCCCAGGAGGCAGCACAGGGCTCCTCCTTCCTACCAGCAGCATCCCAGGCTCTGCCTGCTGCCAACCACAGCAAAATCCAGATTGAGATCTGATTGTCAGAAAGGCTACAGTGATGATAAGGAATAGCTGAAATAACAGGCTGCTCTTTACTTCCAGTGGTTAAAAAAAAAAGCAATAAAGTCTGTTCCTAAGTGCAGTTAGGGTTTTGAAAGCTGGCTATCTCAAACAGCCATGATTTTAAGAGAAAAGAAGATGGAAAAAACATTGCTCTAATAAAAAAAATCTCTTTAAATGTTGCTTCAAAATAATAAAATTGCTCTTAAACTATTCCATAATACCACAGAGAAAAGACAATTTTGAGTGCTTTTTGAAGAGAACCATCTACCAATTTAATTTCTAATGCAAAGGGTACTAAACAGAGCATCAAAAACATTTTCTCCATGATCTTTCTGCAGGATGTGTCTTCTCCTCTCAATCAAAGCATTTCTTTAGGCTCCCTGTGCTATAAATTAATATATTTTCTTCCATTCTTAGAAATTCATTGTCATTTGTCAGCCACAGTGCTGACAAGACAGTGCTGTTGCTTTTCAGCATGAGTCATTTGCCTGCTTAATTTTTAATTTCACCTCCAATTAAATATTAACCAATAAACAACAAATATGAAGTTTACACTTCCTTCAGAGCTTCAAAACCAAATCACTGGCAGACTGTGCTGCTCATGACTCACCTAATGCTGTGCCACCAGGGAAACACCACCTCATGCTTCTGAGAGGCAGATGGAGAAACGCAGCAGGCACAGAGCGTGACTGACATTATTCCCTGCTAATGCAGCTCCCCAATCCCCTGGAACAGGATCCTCGGGCTCCATCCCATCCCAAAATCTCTCCTAGACAAAGCCCAGGCCCCTGGCCAGGCTGGCAGAACTGACATGCAACCACCTCATCCCTCCTAAGTGCTGAATATTGAATATTTCTGCACCAAAGAATAGAAAAGTTGTGGCTGGCACATAGCAATATTCCCATCATGGGGCTTTGCATCTCCAAAATACATCCAGTTACCACAAATGGGAGAATTAAGAGTCTCATCCACAAGAAATCCAATTATTACACTGGGTTTGGGCAGGGTTTTTTTGTTTGCTGGTTTTCTGGGTGGTGTTGTTTTTGTCTGCTGGTTTTTTTGGGTGGAGGTGAGGGAAGGGACTATTTTACAAAAAACCTCACAATACTGATATTTTCAAGATGTTCTACATATTGATGTTTTCAAGATGTCCTAAGTGAACTACCAAGAAAGGCTGATTAAAGGAGGTGATACCAGCACATTTTTTAATCAAAATTATCTAATATCCTAATGAGCCAATAAATAAAGTGAGATGGATTTCTGGGTGCTGCTTTCACTGCTCTATCCATGGTGGGCTTCAGTGGTTTTAATTCACAACAAAAATCTTCCTGGAACATAAAGAGGCACCAGTCCCAATCCCTGAGAGACCAGGGTTTGCTTTCCACACCATCCCAGAACAGGGTCACCTCCTCCTCCTCCCAGTCCTCCAGATCTGGTCTCATCATTCCCTGTGAGAACAACTTCTAGGGAAAACCTCCCTCCTCAGACACATTCAACAAAAGAGAAATAAAAACTCCAGTAAATTAATTTCACACACAACAGTAGTTCGTTTTCCCAGACAAAAGCAGTCACTTTTAATGAAGGTTATTTGGTTTTGCTTATTCTTCCCAAAACTCCTGATACTAGAAAACTGAGTAAAAGAAGTCCCAAAGTGCAGTTTGAAAACAACAGACTGCTGTGGAGCAGAGATAAAATCCCAGCCCACTTAGATACAACCCATGTAACAAAAGACTTCACACTCAGAACACCTGAGGAAAAAAACTCACCATCCTTATTTTCCTCATTAAAAAGTCAGAATATCAGTCTGTTCCTTGGTCTGGAATCTTTCAAAGATGGATTTTTGTTGTACAAATGCAATATAAACTTGAGCTGGCTGTTTGGTTGGATTTTTTTTTCTAGAGTTGCTGTGTCTGGGGGAAGAGGCTTCCAGTCCTGTAGAGCCCAAGTCAAATATTTTTAATCTCCTAGCTGCTTAGAGGAAATGCATGCCAATTAAAACAGAAGCAATTTGGATGAGCTAACTGCAGGCCTGCTGGGAAAACTATTCTTTGATTTCCCTAATCAGGAAAAGTCTCATCTTGGAAGCTTGTAAATATTTTCACAGTGTGTTAGAATGTAGATATCATCCCCAAGTATTCTGACATCTGATTTCATTCAGGCTTCTCCTGGCAGGAAAGTTAACATCAACGTCATGAACCAGATTTCACCAGAGCAGAATCCCAAGACTTGCATTTCACTGTCCTTAAAGTCTGGACAAATAATGGGTTCACCATGAGTCAAAAGAAAATAAATAAAATGAGGATATAGTCTTAATTTTACTGTACTCTCTAAACTGTCACCTGAGATTTTGGTAACCCTGATTTCAGAGCTTGCTGTGCTGCTCCTGTTTGAGTTTGCAGCAAATTCAAAATTTGCTGTTTGAATTACAGGTTAAAGGATGATCCCCTCTCAGCACAGCCCAGGCTCTGCTCACTCCTCGTGCAGCTGGAAGGTGGCACACACAGCTGGTGCTCCAGGAATTAAACTCAGGGAATCAGCAGTTCCCACCCCTCCATAGGGAGCCTCTCTGCCCCACTTGGACTTTGCTTGGCTAGAAATAAAATTCCAGCTGAGCCCTACAGACAACCCCCAAGTAAGCGGGGGAAAGCAGTGAAATGTCACATTTCAGTGAGTACAAGGTGCATAACCAGATTCTTCTGTATTCACTGATACCATTCCTTAACAAAGCAGGACTGGAAGCAAATTGAAGGGAATTTTCCCTGGAGTCTGAGCAAAATCATCTGAGATGTTTTGAGACTACAGTTCCTGGGAGCAGCAGGGCAACAACTGATTGCAGAGGATGAAAACCTCACAGCAGACCTCTGCAAGGGGAAAAGAGTCGAGAAGGAAAGCCATAACCTGCTCTGTAGAGGCCTGCAGATATGTGAAATAAATCAGGTGTGGCCCAGCTGTGGCATCTCTGCATGGCAAAGCCAAAATGTCCATCCCTTTGTGAACACAATCTTCATGGAGCAGAATGAGGAAAGGATTCTCTATCCAGCAGCTAAAAAAGCTGATTAAATGCACCCA